GCTTTTTAAAAAACTAAGCTTAAATACGGGAAATTTTTTGGTCAAATCTTTTCCTAGGATAACTGGACATATATTCTGCAGATAGAATAGAGTTATCCAAAAAAGTATAACCAGTGAGGTAGATGAGTATATCATCAAATTATTTGAAATCAATATTTCTTTAAAATAAACCATACAAAAATTTTTGGAGGGGGAAATTAGCAAGATACTACTTTGAAACTATCTAACTTAAAATTCTACAACCTGATACACAAAAAGTTATTTCACACCATTCAAAACACAAAAAGTTCAAAATAAAACCTATATCAGCACAGAAATTATTTGTAAAAGCATGGAGGAATATATTATTTTATATATCCTTATAGGAAGGTCTTTTTTAAAAGTGTGACACAATTAATAAAGTTAACATTTTATAAAAGAAACCCTGATAAACTTGATTAGTAAGCCAGATTCAGGAAACTCTACTACTGGTTTACACAAAAATATGACGAATCTTTGATGCTTAAATGATAATTCATGTGAAATAATTCAAGCTGATACTAAGAATCCTGTGTAAGTGGTTTGCATTTATTTCAGAATAATTAAGTATTATTATTTTATCTACAATTATAAAAGATTATGTTAATGTTCATTGTAATGCTCTGGAACTAAATGAAATTATATTTGATAATTCTAATGACAAAGATAAATATTTTTTAAATTACTTTTATGGAGATGCACTTAAAACTAAATTTCATAAATATTATGGATAGAGTTCAATGAATTTTTTAAGGATATTGATTGATCTATAATTGACATACTAAGAACTGAAAATAGGTGCCTTATTATATAGGCTCTGATGTATTGTGTACCCATGAGGTCATTACTACAGTCAAAATTGTAAACACATATCTACCCAAAAAGTTTTCTTGTGATGCTTTTTACTCATTCCCTCTTATAACTCTTGTCTCTTTCAATAGCCACTGTCTCTATATAACTGCTGAGAATTTTTCCAGTACTATAGATTAGCTGGCATCATCATGAATTTTATATAGCTTTGTGCAGTGGTGGTGTCATAGCCAATGAGGTTTATACAAGGAGCAATTATTGCTAATTGAAAACTTTTCCCAATACCCCACCATGATGACTTGCAATATAGTAGGCATTAGCAACTTTTGATGGTCTCTATGGAGACTGAATTTTAAAAAAACAGAAGAATTTTATATATATATATATAAGGGTATCATACTTTATGCAGCAATTTCATGCTTGGCTTATTATACTCAACAAAAGCCATTTAAAATTCATTTGTTCTGTTTTTGAACATTTCAATAGTTTATGAATAGAATTTTACTGTGTGGACATAGCACCATTTGTTCATTTTAATTAATTAATTAATACGAGAAAGGATCTTAATTGTTGCCCAGCCTTATGTCAAATTCTCGGGCTTAAGTGACCCTCTTACCTCAGACTCATGAGTTGCTGGGATTATAGGCATGAACCACTGTGCCTGGGACTATTTGTTCACTAATTTGCTTTTTAATTGATATATGAGTCATATTCAGCTTTAAACTATTACAAAGAAAACTATTATGAACATTCAAAATCAATATATATATTTTTTATCTTCTGAGGGTGAATTACTGAGGAAACAAATGGCTAGATTAATTGGTAAGTGTGTATTACTTCTAGAGTGGTTGACCAGGAATAGCACATCAGGGTTCTACTTCTTCATGTTCTTTGTGTTTTTGCCAACACATGGTATAGTCAGTTATTTTTGTTCATTTTAGACACTCTCCTAGGTATTAGCAATAGTTCACCATAGCTTTTCTTTTATATTCCCTAATGACTAATTATGTTGAGATTTTTTTTTTTCTTTTTGAGACAGAGTCTCATTCTGTTGGCCAGATTAGAGTATACTGGCATCAACCTAGCTCACAGCAACCTCTAACTCCTAGGCTCAAGTTATCCCCCTGCCTCAGCCTTCCATGTAGCAGGGACTATAAGCATCTGCCACAATGCCCAGCTAGAGTTCCTAATCTCAGTAGAGACAGAGTCTCATTCTTGCTCAGACTTGTCTCAGACTCCTGAGTTCAAGTAATGAACTTGCTTGGACTCCTAGAGTGCTAGAATTATAGGCATGAACCACCACCCCAGCCAATGTTGAGATCTTTTCATGAGCTTATCTGCCATCCATGTCTTGTAGCATAACATGGATTTTTTGATATTTGGCCCTTTTTAATTTTCTTATTTTTTTGATCTTTGATAACTATTGACACTTATTCTTAATAAAAATCATTTATTAATGGGCTGTGGATCTTTAAAACCACCTATAGGCTCAATACTTCACTAGGATAACTCACAGGGCTGAGAAAAGTTATTATATTTGCGGTCAGAGTTTATTACAATAAGAAGATGCAAATTAAAATCAACAGAGGAAAGAGATGGGAAAAAATTCAGAAGAAAATAGGTATTTGTTCCCAGTGGAATCCCACAAGAGCATACTTGAATCTCCCAGCAAGAATGTGTTAAAACACATTTACAGTGTTGGCAATCAGGAAAGCTTAGAAGAGCTTTGGTCTTCAGAGTTTTTATTAGGCATCAGACATGTAGGAATGTGGCACCCTCATGACTAGTCTCAGCCATTCAGACTCCAGCATCCCCCAGAGGAAACTCAAGCATTCACTGCAAATTATATCACTAGGATACATTTATCTGATAACATGAGTGTGCTATGATCCAAGACCTCAGACATTCAAAAACAGCTGTTCATTGCGGTCTGAGGCCAAACATGCCAGAACGCTTTCATCAGAATAGACCAAAGGGCTCAGAGGTCATCCAGAAGGCAGCCAAATGCCAGGGCTAAAGATAAACTTTACACTGGAATGTACAATGTTTGAACAACGCAGACCGACTGATCCTTTCTTGGCCAATTAGATATATGGCTTCAAATGTTCTCTCAATCTATAACTTTTCATACTTTATCATCTTAGCTATGCCTTTTGAAGAGTAGAAATATTAACTTTGAAAAGGTTTAAATTTTTTTGTTTGTTTTGTAAGTTGAACTTTTAATATGTATAACACTTATTTGCTTCCACCAGGGTCACCAAATTTACTGTTATCTTTATATCTAGAATTTGAATAGATCTAGATCAATTCTTTTTGTTTTGTTTTGTTTGGTAGATGTCTGTGTATGGTGCAAACTATAGATCAATGCGTGTGTGTGTATGTGTTTTAATTGAGCTTATGAATGCTTGGTTGCACTGCATTTCTGCTTTTGAAAACTCTACTATTTCTTCAAAGCTCATGCTTTCTCTATTGAACTAACCAGCATTCTTTTTTTGGAAATTAACTGTATGTGTATACATATTTTTGGATTTTCTATTCTACTCTACTGATCTATCTATCTTTCTTTATGGCAATACCACACTGTCTTGAGTGCTTCCAAACCATGAACAATCTGGCCATATTTTATCTTTCATTTGAGATGTCTGTAAAGGATATATCTAGAATGTAAAGGATCTAGAAATGAGAATTTTTCTAGGTAGATTAGTGACTCTCCACATAGAAATGATGGGGGAGCTGATTATAGTGATTAAAATTGCCCAGGGAGAATGTATAGCATTTAGTCCAAATCTCTGAGTTAGCATTCACACATACAGGAAGATTAGAGGAAGATCAATCTGCAATTGAATTTAAGAATTAGTGACAAAAATAGAAGAGTTACAATAGGCCATTGTGGAATTATTGAGGGTAAAGAAACTAAGAGTTGTTTTTGAGACATACTCATGAAAATGACTATTCTATATCACTGGATTTAGTGTCATTTTCTCATTGGAAATATGCATATTAAAAAATATTTTCTTAAAAATGCTATCATTTGAATTTTACTTTAGCAGATATAAGTACATAAGATGTAAACATATATGTAAACATATGTTTACATCTATACCTTATCTATTATGTTTTTAAGTGTATTTCCTTATTTTACTGAGAGCTTGCTGGGTTTTAACCATTTATAATTTATTTTGGAGGTGCAAGAAATTCAAGGGGGTTTTTTAGTTTTGTTTTATATTTTGTTTTTGTAATGAAAGACAATACTGGAATAACATACTGTTTTAAAATTTCAGGTTGTTCTTTCTTTCTCAGATAAGTCATTTTATTATGGGGCTCTGAAAATGATTTTGAAAATTTCCAATAGAAATCAACAGTCACCTCTCAGGTTCAGAGCATAAGAATTAAATATCACCTGACAGGAACCATCACAGTTGAACTTGGAGAAGATTTTAATTGCTGTGTTCAAGCCACTTAAAACGTTGACAAGCAGGTCAAACTCACTTGTTTCTACAACCACACATAGTTTTCAAAAATGGACTTGCCTATATGCCCAAATGATTACCATCCAATTTTCTTCAGCATCACAAATTGAAGTGATATCATGTGGATCTTAGTCCTTTCCAATTTGTATTAAAAATATCTTCTGGTGAAATCAGTCATGTACAGGCTTATGGCATGATGTCAATGTAATATAGGAACATTTTCTTTGAGTTAATAAGGTGAAAATTGGATGTGATAATAATTCTTGGCAATTTCAGATTTGAAGTTGAGAAGAAAACTTAATACAAATTTATCTGATTTTACTGCGGCAATGTCATGAATAATAGAAATATGGCTTCATTTTCCAAAAGATTTTGCCCATGCCCTACATTTATATTGTAAAATGTACTTAAAATACATAAAGAATTTTCATTAAAATAAAATGAAGCATTCAACTCAAAATCAAACATTTTTGCAACTATTTCTAGATTCTGTTCCAAGAGGGTGTCACAGCCTATATATTCCTATGAAATAACAAATATACCAAGGATAAATATTATAAAATGGTGAAAGATACAATCTAGGGGTGTATAACAGTTTCAGTGAAATATTGGCCACTTGGTATTAAGAGTCGGTTAAATGAGCAACTCTCATTTGATTCATTGAATAAAAAAGAATAATATGCTTAAGAGTTAAATTAATTAATCCAAAAGCTACTCTCTATGAAACCCTAACCAGAAGAAGGAGATTAAATATTAGAATGCTATACTAGAAATGGTGCTTGAGAAACAAGTTTAGCACTGTAATCAACACAGAAAACAGTGAATTACCCATTTTATTCTTAAGTTTGTCTTAAAAACAGCATAGTAACAAAAACTTTAGAAACATTACTAGTCCCTTCCTAGGACGTGAATGGAAATAGAGACCCACATAACATTATGGAAATATTTTAATATTGTAAACAAACTACTCCAATGATCAGGCTTGCATTTCTACCTAGGTCTTGGGCACCACTTCCTGAAGGCAAAGGCCTTTGCTTACTCCAAAGCCATCTCTGATAATTGAGGCCCTCCATAGGCTTGAGTAGGCTGTGAGTTGTCCATCTCAGACAGCGATGGTACCAGAATGGACCAGGCTGAGCTCCTGCAGGATGCAGAGTAGACAAACTTTTCTTGTTTGTGACACACTTTTCTGACCTAGAATTTTAAGACATTTTTAAGGGGTAAAGAATATCAAACAGAAGGAGAGAAGAGAGGAAGCTCAGTTACCTGAAACACTTAGTCTAGCTAGAAACTTGAATTTGGTGTTATGAGGCAATCAAATTTCAAACCCCCCCCCCCCCCGCCAAAAAAGCCTTCTTTCTCTGTTAACCTAGACAATATTGTTGTTTTCTCCTCTACTCATTCATGGGCTCCCAGCTATACATTCCTTAGCTTTGGGGAGCCAAGTCAGCTTATCTATCCTTTTCCTATATTTCTTATTCAGTACTGAACATTATCTATCTATTTATTTATTTATTTATTTTAGAGACAGAGTCTCATTTTGTCACCCTAGGTGGAGAACGTGGTGTCACAGCTCACAGCAACCTCCAGCTCTTGGGCTTAGGTGATTCTCTTGCCTCAGGCTCCTGAGTAGTTGGGACTACAGGTGCCCGCCACAAGGCCCAGCTATGAACTTTCAATTACAAAGCAAACAAAGACTCTCGTTATTAGAATGGATAAGAAAAAAAACTTTATATTTGCTTATGTATGATATATGGACCCCTCTAATGTCTCACTGCTAATGAAGGCTACTATCAGCTAACAATTACTATCAGCTAACAATTTCTATTTATTCTGCTAGAAATTCCCTGCAGCACAGTTGTTTTGGCCGTAGCT